TTAAATCTTTGTTATCAATTTTATCTACAGCTTCTTTAATATCTTTAATATCTTTTGCTATATTTAAATTTTCTAATAATTTTTTTAAAGCGTCTTCAAATAAAGGTTGTGAATCTTGTAATGCTTTTTTTACAGCAGCGTTTACATCTGGTGCTAAATTAGTTAACTTTTCAAGAAGAGCATTATAATTTGTTTGTAATTGTGCGTTTTGTTCAGTTTTATCTTTTAATAATTGTTGTATATGTTTCAATTCACCAACCAATTGTGTTTTTTGAATCTCATAATCAGGTTGTTTTTCAAATCCACCACCATATTCTTTTTTATTAGATTCAGCCATATTTTTAATTTTTTTTTATTTTTTTTTTTAATATCTCGGAGTTTAAATATTTAATTTTAAAATAATAATATAAATTATTAAAATAATAATATAAATAATATATTTAAATAACAATAAAGCGCAATTTTTTTTTTAGTTAACTTAAAGATGGTTCTTTGTTTATTATTAGCTGCTTGGACTAGTTCGTATAATACACTCATATCTTACAAACAACAATACAATAATGCTGTTTGGTATTATAATCGTACTAGTCGATATCAAAATAATTCTAAACAACTTTTACAAAATATTAATAACCTAAAAACACTTTATCAAAAAGCTAAACTAGAAACAAAAAAAGCAAAAAAAGAATACGAAGATATGAAGAAAAAATATGAACAAGAAAAAAAACTACATGGGAAAACTCGAGACAACTTAGAAGAAGAAATAAAAAAACATAAAAAAACTAAAGAATTACTTAAAAAAGAAAAAGAAAACGTGAAACAATTTAAAGAAACTATTGAACAATTAGATAAAAAACATAATATTGAAATCAAAGATCTTGAAAACAAACTTAAAGAAAAAGATGCTAAAATTATAGAATTACAAAATGAAAATACAAGACTACGAACAATGTACGATCAACAAAAAATACTGTTAGATAAACTTAAAACTGATACTGAAGATTTGGAAAAACTTAAAAATGATAGTATCAAATTTCAACTTGACATTACAAAA